ACAAAAAACTAGCCAGGCGAGGTGGCAGGCGCCTATAGTCCCAGCTACTTGGGAGGCTGAGGCAGGAGAACGGTGTAAACCCGGGAGGCAGAGCTTGCAGTAGCCGAGATCCAGCCACTGCACTCCAGCCTGGGCGACGGAGCAAGACTCCATCTCAAAAAAAAAAAAAAAAGAAAAGAAAAGAGAAACTGTAGTTGAGACAGAAATACTGGTGCTCATTTCTTCAGATATATGTTCTAGTAAGTGGTTAGGAAACAAGGATCTCATTCCATACTTGCCTCTGTGGCCAAAGGGAAGAATGTCCTATTTAATTCAAAGTACCACAAAGTTCTACCATAAAAGTAAATCACATTTTTAAGGGGAAGCGAGTGCACAGAACCCACCTCTAAGTCTTCACAGCTAGTCTTCTAGAGAAAAGAACACATAGAGGCTGTGGAAATCAGGGAAGGAAGTTGTTCTGATAATGAGACAAAAGCAATAACCAAGATACAGAGTGGCGAAGATGCATTTGTTATTATACAAAGACTGAAGCACATCAGTCATGTCCCACGTGGAAGGCAAACTGGGTAAGCTTCCAAGCTTCCTTTTCTGGAAAACAACTTACTGCTGGATATAATTGAAAGTGAAGATTATTTGTTAGCAGCCTTGGATGGTTTTTTCTCTAATATCATGTAACCAAAAAGAAATTTCTTATTCTCCACATGCGGGTTTACACATTCCTGGGCTGGTTTTAATGATAAACAATGTAGCCAAAATAGTAATCTTCCTCAGGACCCAACAGCTTGAACTGGGCAACAGCCCATGAATAGCCTAGTTCTGGGTATTCAACACATCTTTTGGAATAACAGCACACAGACCCAGGGAGCGTATTTATAGTCCAGTGTGAGGGGTGGGCAGGACCAGATGAGTCACACTTTATTCTTCGCTGCTCAAGGCTGTTCTGAGCCTTTCCCTCTGACTCAGCACCAGTGGCCTCGCAGCTGACAGGGCCTAAATGCGGCAGCAGGAGCTCAGGAAGTGGTCATGCTGCTTAATGAAGGTAGCTTAACCATCATGTTCATTCCTAAGTCACAGGCAAAATGAGAGAAAGAAGGTGACGGAGTACTGGAGCTCCAGGGTGCTCTCAGGGGAAACAGCTGGCCAGGGATATAAGGAAAATGTTTGGGAAAACAGAGCCTGTCTTTTTCTCTGAGTTCTTCTCTATTGCTCCCCTGGACCGAGCTCTCCTAAGGCCTTTGTCATAATCGCCCATTTCAATAAAAATATATTTAAAAAGAATATGTCAGGGAAAGAATACTGTATTGGATACTAGGAGACCAGACAGGTTCTCATCTCTTTCATATCGCAAACCTGCTCTGTTATCAGACATTTCAACCTCTCTGGACTACAGGATTAAAAAAAAAAAAGGGAGGGATAAAGAAGGGATTCATATAGTGAGAAGACCAATGCTCTCTCCAAGCCAGCTTTCCAGAATTCCCTTCAATGTGCCTTGGGAGTCTCATCTCCTTCCTTGCCACAGTCCTGGCAGGCCTCCATGGTGCTGAGGTAGAGCAGGTCCTCAGGTCCCTCTACCTGAATTGAGTCATGGCTCACCACCACTAGCACCAGCAAACGCCCTCTCTTCTTGCTGCCTTAGCACCTAGGGATTTCCTTTTCCTTCTCCTCACCAGCCAATCACAGTCTACCTATAGCCTCAGTAGGGGTCTCTATGCTTGATACCTCCATTCACATCTCTGGAGCTCCTCTCCCGCCCTCTTCTGCTGTGGTATATTGGCCTCTCCTGCTCCTGTCCATCCTCACAACTGTCATTTGCCCATCCCTAAACCCATCATCCTTGCCCAAAAGACTCCCACTGCCCAGCGAAGGAGTCAGGAAGAACAGGAAAAACTGCAAGAAAATACACAGAGCATGTTTGGAGGCCTAAAGAAATAAAGTAAAAAAAAGAATTAGAAGAAAAGAGAAAATGAAGACCTCTTTCCACTGCTAAGGTTTTTGTTGTCGGGAATGTGTGTTTTGGGGACACAATAGGAGCTTAAAAAAAATGTGTACTAGTGAATAAAATAGCATTCCCTAACCCAAACCCTTAAAGCTGTTTCCCAGAGTGACATTATTACATACTTGCTAGCCCTAAATTTCATGTACCCGTGACGGGGTAAACAGCTTTTCTGTGGGCTGGCCTGGGAACCCCCATCTCATGATGTTTGTTTCTATGGGAAAATACTGCCTGAGAGGCACACAACGGACTTACCAATGATCTTTGTAAACTACCTTTCCTTGCTCAAGCATGGTTTATATAACAGGGAAATATAAAAATCTGCCAGGCAAAGGAAGAAATCAAAGAGCAGCCACCTCCAGCTATAAAATAATTCTACATACATATATTATCATACATAGATGTGCAGATACGTACAAATATGTAAGAAGTAAGGTGGTAACAGTAAATTACCTATTTGATCTAATACACACATATACCTCATTCTCACCTTCATTTACAGCCTGGGGTCAGCATCCCTAGATTATCCCCCAAAATACATGTTTACTGTGAGAAAGGGGTTTCAGTAGGCTGGACATGGTGGTTCATGCCTGTAATCCTAGTACTTTGGGAGGCTGAGGATCACCTGAGACCAGGAGTTCGAGACCAGCCTGGGCAACATAGGGAGATTCCGTTTCTAGAAAAAATAAAATTAGTCGGGCGTGGTGGCATATGCCTGTAGTCCCAGCTACTCAGGAGGCAGAGGCTGGAGGATCACTTGAGCTTAGCAGTTCAAGGCTGCAATAAGCTATAATCATACCACTATACTCTAGCCTGGGCTATACAACAGGACTTTGTCTCAAACAAAACAAAACAATATAAAACAATGAGAAAGGGGTTTCAGTAATGTTGAGAATACCAAATACACTACAAAGGAAGTGCAGACCATATGCTAACACTTGACGACCAAGAAAAACAAGTATTTGGAAAAGAACATACACACCCAGAAGAGCTAAATGTAGATAAATGTAGACAGTATAGTTCCCTAAAATACTTATTTTTTCCTTAGAAAATAAATGCATGGACGCTCCTGGCTCGAGGCTGGGAAGTTGTGGAGGGGGTGACGTACACCACACACTCTCCTTTACAGCGGGTCCAGTGGTCCTCTGAGAAGGGGGCAGACACAGAGACAGGAATGGGTGAGGTGTGTTGGGGGCCTGAGTGTGGATGAAGACTCGGAAAGAATTTTTTATGTGGAGCTGAGCTGCTTAGGTCTGAAAGGCTCTGTCATAAGGGACTCTGGGTTCTGAAATAGGACAACGAACTGAGCAATATGAATGCAGGGTCTGTGAGGGTGTCCCATCCACGCCACTGCCCATATGGGCCATACAGATTCCACCTCTGACCTCATAGCTATCAAATACCTGGCATGCATCTGACACTTCAATTCAGTCTTTCATCATGAAACTGAACATGAAGGAGGAGGCCTCAGAAAAGAAGGGCAGGAAGCGGGAGGGCGGGGAATGGCACCTCCCTGCTTTTGTCTAGCACAACTCACCTCATAGAAGAGTCCTTCTGGGAACTGCTGGAAGCACTGAGCGCACACGAAACACTGTTCATGGTACAGCTCCCCGTTACTGTTCACGATCTTCTCAGCGGGTGCAAAGCCGCCCTTGCAGCGCTCACAAGTGGCGCTGGCCAGGGCATTGGCCATGTTGCTGTAACACACAAAGAACAGCAGGTTGCAGACCGTCAGCCTCTTCTTAGATTGAAGACCAAACCACACCAAGAACCGTGAGCAGCGAATTCTATCTGATCACAAAAACCCTATTTT